ATGAGAGATTGACATTTTCAGTGCCTTAAACATTCTTAAAAGCTGCTTTGTTCATTGCAAACCATATTTAGTATGACCTCATAATAATGTAGCACACCTCAAGTGTCATGCCTGTCTTTACTATGCACACTGGAGCTATGTTCATCTATACTAGACAACAGCACTTCAAGGAAAGATTTTATTTTTTCTTGATAGGCAATTAGCAGTAATTAGGCAGATTCACCTCAATAAGATGTCAACATTAGATTCTTTAAAAAAGTTGAATGTCAGTGGCTTTAAAAGAGGTTTATGCCCTGACACATAGGTATGGCATGTGAAACATGAAATGTTAATTTAACTTTTCTACTTATTATTCATGCACAACATTATTTTGTCATTCACATACTGCACTGACAGAGTGCAAAGGGTGTTAAAATAGTGCTGCTAGAATAAAAAGAGGATTAATCTACCATTGGCCAATTAGCCAAAGGGTACTTAATGGTCTCTAAAGGCTACTGAAGTCTAACAACTAGCTAAAGCACTGGCAAAAAGTCCTCTATATTACCTTCATTTACTTGACATTTTGTGAAACAGAGTTGGCTGCTGATAACTGCATTTGGCTGAAAATAATTTATAACTGGGTGATATGGTAGATTTCAGAAGAATCAGAGACAAATAACGTTTACATTTTAGAACTTTCTTGCTTTTTGGGGGGTGTATGGTTCACCTTGGGGATAGGATATTAAATTGCCAAAGACTACTATTTCATATTTTATCTTCATGTTTCAAATACTAAGTTGTCAGCCACATGCAGCACTTGTATGAAGAAAACTTTTACTTCAAAGTCCATACAGGTGTATTTGCATTTTCTCTGTAATATATGATCATGTGTTAAGGATGTAGCACGGCTGGCTTTTTAATCTGGCATTTGTATCTATTCTTTCATGTTTTCCGATAGCTATATACTATCTTTATTAATTTTAGCTATGTTTTCTGGGACCTGTAAAGCAGCCCTAAGTTTTGATTCTGTTAACAACAGAGCAGAACATGGTCAAGATTAAAAATTTTGACTTGGATATTCTAAATGGGATCGTTATTAGGTTATAATAATGTGCAGAGTGTGTGAAATCCTAGATATCTAAATCTGTGCCCGCAAGTATGTTTTTATAAGGTCTTTCATGGTATATGTGCGCAATAAGTACTGTTTATCTTAGCTGTTTTCTTCACAATCAAGCTAAAGCTGTAAGCGAATAGCATTCTTAGCCTCCTGTTTTTAAAACTTCAGACAAACACTTTTTTAAATTTTAAAATGGAACTTGGTTCAGAGGCTACGCAGTATAGCAAAATATTTCATTAACCACCGTGGAAAGATTTATTAGAAAAAAACACAGCAATCGATTGAATGCTAGTCTGTTTAAGACATCTCTATGCGTGTTGTAGCGTTTTGGGCTGCTTAGATTACAGGATGGGAGGCTTCATAGCAAATAAGAATTTTACACATCTGGTGATATTTATATTGGTTATATTTATAGTTGCATTATTCTAATAAGATGACTAATAAAATAAGATTATTTCATTGCTTGAAAGGGGTTTCAGGATTACCTGATTTATATCCTATTTTATAATTCTGAGTAGAAATATAATCTCTACATAATATATTCTGCAAATGTAAACATATGAGGTCATGTATCTCACACCAGTAATACAGCAGTGCAATAGCAACTACCGTGAAGAGAAGTCTTTTTCCAGTTGCATTAGGCATGTGACTCTGCTGTAGACTGAACTAGAACCTCGTCCCGGGGTTGCTGCGACACAGAGGACCCCGATGGGCTGTTTCAGGACGTTCCTATATTAATGCACTGGGCCTTCAATATAGCTGTCTTTCTGAGCAGAGGGCTTATGGTATAAAGGCTTGCTGAATCACGTTGAGTTTTACTTTCACTACATAGAAAATGACAAAGTGTAGCAAAGTGTATTGTGTACACCAGGAGCAAGGAGATTAAGATAGATGGATATTAAAATACTGAATCTGTAAATGTCTGTTAAGCCAAAATACTCTGAAGAAGGTGTCATGGACACAGGTCGCTGCATCTTGGAGGAACAGTGGTAGTCTGCCTTTACAAACATCTGATCTAGCTGCTGTTTAAGATTCTGCCTTTCATCCTAGTAACCTCTTCCGCGAGAGTAAATCCTTTTCATTCTGTCACTCAGGATTTATGTGCATGGTAGGACACTAAAGGAAGAAACTGTGTTTAGGAAAAAAAGAACGAAAAGCTTGACGTAAAACTTACCAGGTGGTGAGGGACAACAGGACAATGAACTTATTTATTTCTTAAATAAGTAAATGATGCAAGGAATATCTTTCAGGCATAAGTAGGGTATTCATCCTACAGGGTGAGGGAGCAGGATTTTTTTTGGTTTTCACATGCTGCATACATTTATGTGGAATTCTCAGGTACCCTTGCATGGTATTGCTTGTACAAGTATTATGCATCAGAGGTATTAACAACGAAAAAAGCCCAACCAACCTGTAACACCATTGACAGGATCTCCAATTACTGATGGCAAACTTCCTGATGCATGTATTCGATTGCAACTGCGTGTTTACTGTTGTCTGCTGTTGCAAGTTGAGGGGCTTTTGTCTTGGATATTGCTTTCACTTCACCCCACTTGTTCTGATGTTGTTACTGCATTTAGTATTTCTGTACATTCATATTTGAAATAATTTTTTCTGGGTCCTACCTTAAGTGAGTTATGTAACTGACATGGCACTGTCATCTTTGGCACATGTCTCATAAAGATGCTTCCTTTTTGCTGTCATTTTTGTGAACGTGGCCACTGCGGCCATGGCATTTCTAGAACTTACAGGTTTTTCCCTGCCATTGTAGTCTTAAATGACCTAAGAAATTTAGGTAAGGTGCAAGCTATCTTGGGCATATGTGGCGGCCTCTCTAGTTTTAATCAAAGATATTGATCTAGCTATGAATTTTTTTTACTTTTTTATGAATAATTCATTATACAAACACTGAATCATGAAATTCTGTATGCAGAAATATTGGCTATACTAGACAAGTTAACCCAATGCTTATGTTTTTTATCTACCATATTTTCCTGTACTACTACTTTTAAAGTAGCATTCCTTTTGTCTATTACCCACATTGTATTAACTGAGAGAATAATTCAACAGATTAGGGAATAGCCAGGCAGAAAATACATCAACACTATTTGTCTGTTGCTCAGTAATTATAGAAGACTGAGAAGGGAATGAAAGATTAACCCTTTTGCTAAGAGTAATGCTGATCTCAGATATGTATGTATGGTTCCCATTGGCTTTGATAAATGTACCAAATGTAGAAATACTGTTAGAGTTCTAACTTTGAGATAGAATACAACTTTAAAGATAGAATACATTTTCTTGAATCTATAATAATTTTTAAGTTCTTCTTTAAATATGCAAGCATTTCCATGCCATTGGAAATAGAAACAAACTGTAATGGAAATAAATAGTCCATAAATTATGTTTCTTTTATTTGGATGAATGTGATACTCAGGTGATCTGATGATCTGTGTGGAAATAAGTGTATGTATAAGTATATGTATGTAAAATGTGCTCTTTCTCTAGTAACATCAAATAATATAAAATCCAATTTTGAATTAAACATTAAAGCATTCTAAAGTAGAACAGTATCTTTAACCTGCTCTCGCCCATGTTGTTTTGTGGACCAACATATAATCAGACATACATTTAGCTGTTTGAAGGTGTAGCATCTTCTCCTTTTTCTAATCAGGATTCTTTTCAAATAAAGATTTTTTTTCCTTTGAGAGATTTCAATATCATTTTGTATAATTGTTCCTTATGTTAAAGTACCATATTATAATCTGCTTTGAAATAATAAAATAGTACTGTAGTTACCCTCTTAAAGAGCAGACAGTTGTTAGGCCATTAAAGCTTGGTGGCTTTCTGCTGACTACATATTGGTGATAGATAAGCACTAGCTTGAAGATTATTTCAATTCTCGTTCTAACAGAAGAGCATTCAATATTGTTTAAATTAAAACTAATATTTTATTTTTAAAATTATCCTCTTTAAAGGGTACTGTGATATATATTGTTACACAGAGTAAATAATTCTCGTCAGTTGTCAGTCAAGTGTAACAAGACTGAGAGTTAGTTTGCATGTTATTTATTTGAACTAAATCCCTAACAAGCTTCGTCTGCTAATTGGACTTAGCATTTATGTTGCTAAATGAGAAACATTTTGGCTGCAGTATAGGGTGGTAAGACCTACCCAGTGGAATAAACAACTAACATCTGTTATCCTGTCCTGCTCCAGCTTGGCTTTTACCAGTTAAGTATCTCAGCCCTAGAGTCAAGGTTATGGAATATGTGGTTCCCTGGCTATGGTGTGTGTATGTGAAAGGGAAGAAATAACATGAGTAAAGACCAGCCAACCGGAAGATATTTAGTGCAGCTGGTCCACTTTGCTTTAACCTCTACAAGTCCTACAAATATCAAAACAAAAGCCAAGAGAAGGATGTATGTTTTATAGCAGTTGTCAACACAGCAATTCAAGTGAGCTTACAATGGTCACCATTAAAACTGAGTTGACATTTAACCACCCTTAATATGCCTTGGTGTCTGAAACACATTGGTATTTCTTCATGCTCAGTATAGAAAGTAATTGTAGAATCCCAGGGACCTTCTAGGTAAACGTGTTTCAACAGTAACTACTGTTAGAATTTTATATAATTTTTGCCTGTCATGGTAAAAATATAAATACACAAAATAAAACTTGAATCAATTTGCCTTTCAAAAAAAATTAGATCTTTTAATGTTGGTTTACTATTCTTTTCTGCAAGATTCGGTCTTTGCTTAAATTCAGCTGGTAACTATGCAATATAAAATGTAGATGGTGTACAGTTTTTCATTTTTCTTGAATTCTAACCACAAAGTATCTCATGTGATCAAGCAGAAATATTTTTGAGATGCAATTGTGATTGTTACCTCTGTTTGTAAAACAGGCATTGACCTCTGACTTGGCCAAGTGGCAACAAGAGAAGGAAGATTTACAAGGAAAAGTGAAGTTGAGAGAACATCTGTCTCAAACTGCCAGCAAGAATGAAGCAACACCAGCTCCCTCAAAGAACATAGATTTAGAGATGAAACAGCTGCAGTGCAAACTGAAGGTGACAGAACAGATTATCCAGTGCTGAAGATAATTCACATGAGCAGTATTTCATAAACTGGGTCAAGCAGATTCACATATACACTCACATATGCCTGTCATTTATATATGCTAACCTATGATTAGTATCAGAGGTGTTAAATAATCTTTGATATTAAATAGAAATGTAGTCATTACCAAGTGATTTAAAAGTTGCGAGTAAACACCTTTTGCAGATCCAGTGGGCCAGACTGAGAGGCTTGCTAAGTTTTCGCACAGTGACTAAATGCATCCTCTTGAAAAGTGCTGTGGAATTACTTTAAAGGGAATTTGTGGTTATTTCTTGCATCCGTTAAGGAGCTAAACAGTAACTATCTGTGAAAGGGGAGATAGAAATCAAACTGATTGTGTAGCTCATGTAATGTTATGTTATCCATATGTCATTTCGTGTTTTCAGAGAACGTTCTTTTTGCATTTTTGGTAGAAGTAGCAGTAGTTATTATAGTAAATTAAAGGATAATTTTAAAAAATACTTTTGTGTGGAAACAATGTATGAGATTAGATAGTAGGAAAATACTAACTTGTTGCTGAAATAATTTTTCAGCCTCCAGTGATTCTGCCATGTATAAATGATGTAGATGCTGCACTGTGTTGATGAGCATAGCATCTGAGAGCTTTCCCAGAAGTTGCCCTGGCTACCATTTATCATATATTAGTTCTTCTGTTCTCACTGAAGAAGCTACATGTTCAACGGAATGTATTAAAGTTGTTATTTTATTATTATTTCACGCTTACATATGAAGGGAAAGAAAAGCTGAAAATGGTACGGCTTTTTACTGCTAGAAGAAAGCACAAGCCAAGATCACAGCCAAAGGACCAAATGGAAGAAAAGGCCTTATTACCTGAGCCATATAGCTGTCCCTGTCTCCAAGTACTGGATTAGCTGAGCTAGCACAAGAGGTCTGGGCAAGGTGTAGTGTTCAGACCTCTTAGCTGTTCATGGTAATGATAGTATAGATCTTGGCAATAGGACACTGTATCTGTAACTTCTTGGTTCAGGGATTAGTAAAGGTAGGTCACGCTGATGGGAAGAGATGAGGGCAGCAGAGAGTAAGAGTAGCACTGGCGAGGCACATAATCTGATTTATTTTAAGTATGAAGAGTTCGTATGAGAGAGCTCTTGTGAGCATAGAAGGTTTTTTTTTTTGAAGTATTGATTTTAGATTTGATTTTGCCTGATCTGCTACTGCTGCTACTCAGTGCTAACTTCCATTGACTAGAGTTGTCCCTTATAGATGAATGTCATGCTTATCCAGAAATCTGGTAGTCAGTTGATCTGTGAATATAAGAAAAATAACAAAATGATGATTTTTCCTGTAAGCTACTCAGTAAGTAAAGCTCATGCTAAAATCTTCTATATCTGTCTGCTACATGTAAACTGCAAAATATATCATTGAAATGCAGAGTTTTTTTGCTTCTGCAGTGGAAGCTATTATAGCACTAAACAGAAGAAGTATTTAACATAAGCCTGTATGAATCTGATGTCAAAAATTATAACAGAGCTTCTAGTTCCTTTTTAAAGAAGCGATACATTTTTAATGTAAAAATAAACTATTTATGCAAAACTCAGTTTAAAATATGCAAAACAAAATCTGTGACCCTAAATCTAGATTAGTAGAGTGAGTCTACTGGTAGAAGAGTAGGATGTGTTTTGACTATAGTGGCCTCGACAGCTACTGTAGATCGAGTTACTGAAATTGTTGCCCGTATTTTGAGCTGATGATTTTTCAAAAATTAAAGTTCTGCAAGTAATTTTGAGCAGAAGAAATGGACAGAAGTTGTCAAGTGTTGTTTGGGGTTGTCTAGCATACTTACAAAGGAGATTCAGAGTTTTTCCCTGCATATGTCAATGTGCAATCCTTATAGCTCGAAACCTCAAAGTACTTTTTATTTTTGATTATTTTTTTCTCAAAGCTATCTTTGCAATGTTTGTTTGTTTTATGTGATGATTACTTGTAACCTTGCCAACAGGAGGAAATGTGTTAGATTGGGTGGTGTATTTGGAAGCAAAATATGTAAGCATATGCCTTTGCTTCTGAGCATGTGCAGAGGCTCTTCTAAGTATTCAAGTTCATATTTGACTTGTAAACCATATAACAGAGTGCTATGCTTCACACTAATGAAGTTCAAACTCAACAATCAGGTCTCAGGAAACTCAGGAATATTGTGTTACTGTATATCATTTTAACAGTTTTCTGGTAATACCTCACATTGTAATAATAGTAAATAGACTAGACAAGTTATTAAGAACAATATTTTATATCTAACTGTACACACAAGAATATATACTCCCCTTGAGGTGCACAGCGTTATTTACAATACTTCCATTAATGTTAATGGGTGTTACAAGTCTGCACTGAGCACAGAAATTCTCCTCAAGTATCTTTGTTTACAGCGTGTCTGATCTGTTCACTCATGCTTTATATAAAATGAGTAAAATCCCAAAGCTGTAGCATGGTGGCTGAACCTGTAAAAAAGCATGCATATATGTTATGCATACTCTTCACACGCATGAATCTTTTGGCTACACCTTTTGGAGCTTTGAAATCTCTGTGTGCTCTTGTTTGAGGTACCATTTTCAGAAATGGCTCTCAAAGCATATATTCTAAATTGCTAAGATGGCTACTTAATTGATCTCTATATAAATCTTGAGTAGAGTGTCTGTGTGTAGTGGAGTATCTGTGTGTTTGCATATAGGCGTTGAGGGGTTTTCTTTTCCTTCCAAAAAATACAGTGAGGAAGATTCGCCAACAACTTAAAATTACGTAGGAATTCACTGGAATTAAAAATGGCTGAAAGATACGAGCACAAACCTTTTTTTGATAGAGAAATGAAGGATTTGTGTTTGTACAGCTGAATGCAATTGTCTTTGTCTTCTGGTTTGAGTTTTAAGGGACAGAAAAGCAGCTACTACTGTTGTAAGGTTGTCTGGTCCTTTCAAATACCCAAGATGAAAGGGATTATTGGAAACCACTACTTTTTAGATGTAGGCCCCTTGTGCTCTAGAGCGTATAGTTCAAGGTACAGTTCAAAGAAAGATCTAGTTTTATTTCTCCTCTTTCCTTTTACCTTTTCGGTTGACCATGCTATGCAAGAGAAAAATTGGTCCTGTTAGGTGCAGTAAGCCTGCAGGTGTCCTGGGGAATATGTAATAATCATATATCATTGTAGCTCTGGAAGAGTACTGGTTTTGAGTATATTTTCTGAGGAAAATACTTTTGCCTAATGAAAAATCAGAATACTCTTTTTGTACAGTAAAACATTCCAATGAATGTTTAACACCATTCGTAAAATACATCAAAGTTTACACAGTCCATTATTTGAAACAAATTTACTATTGGCTGAGATCATATTTAATCTGCTTTATTTATATTTTAATATTTTTCGACATAGAATTCGAATAATGAAATCACGAAACAATCAACCACCATTAAGTCCCTGAAAAATGAAGTCCAGGAAAAAGAAGAACAAATACAAGAACTACAAGTAAAGTACGTTCACTGTTCTATCCGTTGTGTTTGGTGCCACCCAGTGGCAGCTCTATAATTGTTACATTAACCATTCTGAAATAGATTTTTAAAATAATCTTTTATTCTTCTTTTTTCCTTTTATGTAATCTTGTAGAGTGCTACAGTTTTTTAGATATTGGAACAGTACATGCTAAGATTGCATTTTGTTTAAGCTGATGAGTGATTAGGTAGCTACAGTATCTGCACTGCAATAAGAATACCTTAAGTCAGAATTCAGACCCTAGAGTGGACTTTTTTATCCTTGATGTAAGTCTAAATGAATTCCTCAGCACTCTTAAATGCAGTGTTTCAAATACAGTAATTCTTTGCCTAGGGGCTAAGAGACATGTCAAGGTTTAGATGCTTAAACAAGATTAACTATCCAGTCTTATTTTCATAAAAAGTGCAAAAGAACTGTTGTATTTGTTTCTATTTGAATTGGTTAGGGTTTACTTCATTTTGAAATTTGCATGTATTGGTGCAAAGTATGCAACTGAGATTTTTGTTCTACCTACTTACTTTAATTGACTGTTCTTCAATTATATTACTATAGAAACGTAATCCCTTAGTATGTCTGTGAACTTCTTGCCCGTTCCACAGTTTAATTCCTCTAACTGCTCAATTTTTTTTTTTTATTTGTAGAAACATTTCAGTTTACTTTTTTAACTTATTTCAAAAATAGTGATTTCTTAAAGTGGTGGAAGGGTGTTGCAGTCTGTTAATTTCTATTTAAAATAAAACTGAAGAAATCTTCTACTACTTAATTTTAAAAGGGAGCTACTGATTTTCATACTTATTTTATAATAATGTAAATAGCTTTTTGCATAAAGTATAAGATCTGATCATCAAAATAACAATAAAAGGAGTATGAAATAGATTGAAGACATTTTAAGATGCTCTGTCTTCTTGTTGATTTTTATATGGTATTGACATGATATCAACAATGTTTTATTTCTGAACATATTGCTATCATTCAGTTTTCCTTTATTAAAAAAAAACCTGCCTGTCTGAACGTATTCAGAAAATGCTTATGTTTATTTTGAAAATGTTAATTTGTACTCAAACTGTAGAATCATTACGTAAGACATAATTTTCTCAAGAAATACAGATCATGTCATGAGTTTCCTCTTTTAATAAGTTTCGGTGAAAAATACTGATATTATTTCTAGATTTTGCAATTTTTAAGACAAATTATCTTACCCGACATTATGATATTGCAATTCAACAAAATAGTGATTTTTCCTTCTAGTTCTGTGTATTACTCAGTTGTATGAAATAATTCCCCCCATACACACCTTTTTAAAGAATTTTTTGCAAAATAATACTTAAAATATATCTACTTCAGGCATCAAAGAGATTTAATTCACAAAACTTTTTTTTCAGCATTTTTTTAGGTATATTTACAAAAGTATTATGCTTTCAGAAAATATAATTGATTGGAGCATGAATTACAGCAAAATGCAAATCAAAAGTAAATTGCATATTTAGAAATAGATCTGTTAGCTAAGAAACTTGACACTGTCTGTCATGACTAGGAGTAAGGTAAATCACAAGAATTACATCAGCTTTTATTTTAAAAAAATTCTAAAGCTGCAAGAATGGTATTTTGTCCACTGCATTCATACTTTTTAGTTGATTAAAATAATACCTTCACAATATTTTGTAACAGTGACTGCAACGTTACTTTTCTTCTTACTTCCAGGATTTCTCGAATGGAGAGAGACCTTCATATGAAAAGACATTTGATAGAAGACTTGAGGTGTCGGCAAAAAGCAAATCAAGAAAATGAGAAAACCTATAATGAAACATTACAAGGTCTTGAAAGAAAGGTAATTCTTACTTGCCATTTATAATTTTACTAAAAATAAAAACTGGTGGATTTACAGAAGTTAGTTAAACACAGTATACATATTACATCAATATAATGCTTTAAGCAAACAACATACAGTTAATTGTAGTGTGTAATTTCTTCCATTGAAATTTTTTTGAGATCAGGATATGATGATAGCTTGAATTTATTCAGCATAATTTAATGTATATTCATAGGAGCTGTAGTTAAATATTGAAGTATTCAGAAGACTGAATTGCAAGGATTTGCTCTAAGTAGTAAGATGTAGTTCAATGCACGCTAACTTCATAAAATACAGTAGACCTGAAACAAGGATGATTTTACGTGACATATGGAAATGAAATCTATGCACATCTCCTGGCTGTAGTGGTTAAATGCTTTAATATGTTAATCTGTTTTCTACTGCAATGTTATGAATAATTTACAGTTCTACTTTGGTTTTAACATTTCATGTAATTCTATCTGTGTAGGTAAAGGTTAGTATCTGTAGCAAGTTATTTTCCCCTCCAAAATTCTAGGAGAATTTCGCTGATGCTGGAACTTATATTTGCCATGGCATCTTTGTATATTATCCAAGCATTGTACTTTAGCCTTTAATTCCTGAAAAAGATTATGACATCTGGTTGTCTGTGAGGTTACACAGTGTATTATGCACTGTATGGCTCCAAAATAGAAATAAACAATTTGCCAACTAGCTTTTATTTTCCTAAAATGTGGCACTTGCTGCGTAACACAGACACTACCTCTGCTTGCAGTCATTAAGCACTTTCAGCTCTAGAGAGAGATACTGTCTTACCCTCCAAGCCAAAGAAAAGGTGTTATTAAGAAATCCTCAGCCAGAGAGTGAAAGCACAAGTAAGCAAGGGAGATAAAGAAAGAAATGAGAGAAATACCTGATTTTGTTTTTTGAGAAACAGTTTAGAATGGAGTGATGTACTTTAATCCTATTCTTTGAGTGTTTTGAGCATTACATTTTTCATCTTGCACACAAACAAATTCCATGCATTTCTTTGATTATTAATTATAGAAAATCAACTTGATAAATTTGACATTATCTTCAGCAGAAGTTCAGAGAAATTCTCTAAATACTTGATACTGTCTGGACAGCTCTGTGGTCAGTACTGTCAGAGGAGCTGAATGAACTTCTTGGAGCATTCTTTTACTTCAGTTTACCCCAAATCAGTGCTTGCATTATCTGGCAAAATTATAGCATCTGAGAAGCTGTGAGGCTATTAGCTTGTAGACAGCTCTCTTTTTCTCAGCTGAATCTTAATTAGAGTCTTCTACATCTGATAGAAAAAAGAGTGGAAACTGTTTCATTCACTCTTACATTCACTTCAGCTGTGAAACATATCTAAACCTACAGCCCTGCAAATTAACAGTTTTTCTTTATATTTAATACATGTCAAGATTTCATGTAGCAAAGCTGTGTGCATACTGATCTCCACTGGATTAGTAACAGAGATTCGTTAAAGACTACAATTTCAGAAAAATATACTTCAGTCAAATAATTTGTATAATACAGACTGGTATGTCTGTAGTACAGATCAATATCAAGATTGAGTTTGACTTGCTGTTTCACTTTTAAGTTTTGTATCTTAATAATGAAACTGCTCTTGACCTTTCTTTTTTTCAGGTAAAAGCACTGACTGAAGACTGTTCAAGCAAAAAAACTTCAATTGACTCACTGAAACAAAGGCTTAATGTAGTTACCAAAGAAAAGTCTCAGTATGAGCAGTTGTATCACAAGACTAAGGATGAGCTGGAGAAAAAGGTATATTACAGTTGCGATGGCTCTGCTGTGGAACCTTTTAATTACTTATTTTTAAAAGAAAAATTGCAAGGTCGTCAACTTAGACTTTTTAAAAACGTAAAGGGAAAAAAGAACAGAGCAATAGAAGTGTGTCTGATCTGATTAACTCACGTGGCTAAAAATTCAGACACTGAAACATATGGATATCATGACTGAAAATGAAATTACTTTTTTCCTATGAAATTGCAGTTTATGTGTTACAAGTAGAATGTTCTGTGATGTTAACTGATATGAACCCTTTTTTTTTTAAACTGCTGTAACTCCCTGTTGGCTCTTATCATATCACTGACTGCTGTTTCTATATGGGTGTATTTCAGCATCTCAAACTCACCAATCTAGAGAGCAAAATGATTGATACTGAATGTGCCATGACTGCACTTGAAACTACTGCATCCCAACAGCTCCATGGCTTGGCAAAACAAAGTGGGCAAGCTTTGGAAACTGTACAAAAGAGGCTGCTGCTTGCCAATGACAAAGTAGAAGAGTTCATGAAGTTTGTGAAGGTTTGAATTTTGATTTTCTTTTGAGAGTTCACGTAAAAAAGGAAAGTCTTCTGTGGAAGTTAAAAATTAAAGGGTCAAATGAGATTAGTACTTTGGTGTGATCCCTATTCTGGAGCAATCTTTGAAGTTCTTAGGCTGGCCTGTTGTCAGCACTGCGCTGGCCTAAAGGGAGACCAGCCAATGCCTCCAGATCGTTCTCTTAGCTTAAACTTCCATGCTTTTTTCAGAAGCATTGAATGAAGGATCATCTGTCTTGCAAAATTTAAAGCAATTTTAAAAGCAGTATATAAAATATTCTTTCCTTATTTTAGTTAAGTACTCAGCAGTCTGCTATAGTACATCATGCAGCAATACTGTATCTGTGATGTTCTACAGATAGCTTCCTCGTACTAATTCAGTGTGAAGTTCTGCAGAACAGGCTAATCTGTGTTTTGTAATTTAATATTTGAAATATAAATATTATTTTTTTTATAATATATACACGACTGTAACACGATGCTACAATTTACATAATTAAGAATTACAATGCTCATTTAGTATATACCTAGTCTGAATTTAGCATATTCCTACTCTATACCTACTTACAAACAAGATTGTATCTTATTAACCCATGAGACAGTTCCACTTACCTTCTTCCCGTGGAGTTCTGTAGAGATGAGCTGCTGTCGGATGTCTTTGAGCAAGTCCGATAACCTCCCAAGTAAAGAAGAATGGTATTTTGGTGTACTGTAGAAGGAAGACATGTCTAGTTCTCCCTTCATGAATAGCTTTGCAATGTGGACTGAAATTTATTAGCATGTGTTCCTTTTGCCCTCCTTCTGTCGTCATCAGATAACAAGTCACTCTACACTGGATTTTTCAGCCACTTGACTTTGTCATAAAATCATCTCATGTTCAGGCCAGTTGCAAAATTCACATTGACTTTAGTTTGAAAAAGAAGTTGACCGATGTTGAACGAGCTTTAAAATTCTATATTCAAAAGATATATAAGCTAAAGATACATGATTTGAAAATGGAGATTGCATTTCATTAAAAAAACTTTACCTGTTGGTTTAAAAAGGAATTATTTTATATTTTAAATTTGTTATTAAATTAAAAGCTGTCTTCCAATGGCCTTGTTTCATAGCCCTTGCAAAACTGATTGAACTGATCATACTTCCAGTTATGCCCTGTGATTCAGAAGTATTTTGCCTGTTCTTGAACAATTTGTTCTTTTTCATGGAGAAAAATGTGCTTTCTTCTGACACAGAATGCTTGCTCTAGAAGGAAGGAAGGAGTGTTCTTTCCACGATGGTATTGTTATTTTGGCTAAATTAGGAAAAGTATGAAATCTTCTAATGTGTAATCTCTTTCTTTCATAAAACAACCCATGTTATCGATGAGAGAGAGCCACAATTCTGTTTTCATTCAGGTTGATAGGAATTTTAGACTGACTTTATTGAAGAAAATGTAGTGGATGCATGGATACACAACTAATAAGGACTTAATTAGATTTAGCAATTTTGTTCTGTGTTCTCTTCTCTCTGGAATCTTTTATGTGACCAAAAATATTCTATCTTCTGATTACTGTGTGCCCCAAGTTTAGTTAGTATTTAAATTTATAGAGGTTGTAGCAGAAGAAGATAAAGAAATGAGTCATACTTTATATACTCCCATAATGAAAACTTTATACAAAATTAGAAAATGTGAGAGGATCTTCTGTTTTCAAAAGTAGCAGTAATGTGAAACAAACCCCTTATTAGCCACTATTACAATATTTCATTCATTGTTGAATAAAATGACCGCCTCTCTGTTTATAGCTGTCAATATTTGTTAATATTTACATGGTTGTACTGTAAACTAAAGTAATTGTGATACATAATTTCTTTACTAAATAATAATAAATAAAAATAATAAATATTTATCTACTAAGGCTAAATGCATAGTCTCCCCTTCTGAAAAGAATGTGCATGCATATTTCAAACACTATTTTTGCTAACTGTTTTTCCTCTGCAGAAAGATTTTGTGAAAATAAAGACACTGTCTATAAGTCAAATCTTGATGAACAGAGAATTCCTTAGCAGCCTGCTTTGTTTAGGTAGCTATTAAATGTTTATGGAAGAAAAATCCTGCGGAATTAAATTTCATTCCTAGCACACCACTGTGAAAAATACAGTTGAAAATCCTTGGCGTTCAGTGGAATTTTGCAGTGCATCAAGATAGTCCTATTAAAATCCTTCTTCCATGCCTCATGCTATAAGATGGCACAGTAAGAAATAGCAGTGCTTCTCCTTCCCGTACTAGCTCTTTCTGTGAAGTCTGGCCTGTCTCATTTCTGTTCTTTCCGTCCAAATGGCTGTCAGTTTTCCCCGACTTTGTGTCTGTCTCCCTCTAGTCTCAGTAACTTTTGCTGTCAAGTAAGTTTTTCTGTATAGTGATTAATCGAGTTTAAAATGTCTCTTGCATAAGCTGTTTCATTTGTTTTACTCACTTGTCTTTGTCTACTATTCTGATCATTTCTCAAGCCTGACTTGATTTTTCTGAGTGCAAGTGTAGTCTTCTCATTCATCAAGTTCTGTTACTTTTTCTAGCTGTTCCATGTGACGTTAGGTAGTTCTTTTTGTGACGTACAGCAATTAACTCATTTCAGCAGTGCTAATTAATAGGTTCAGTTAATAGTAGGACAACAGAGGAACTTCAGAACGGATAGGTTTTTCCACTTGTAGCAGGGGGTTATGGAAAATTTGAGATAACAGTCACTGTGACGTGTTTTGGATATGTTATTTTTAACGTATTCTGAAGAAGAAAATAGTTCTGATATACAAAGTATCAAAGACTAATACAGAATAGAAGATAGTAGGAATAGATATCTGGAGTATCTTATAACATTCAAGAAGATAAAATCTGTCTGAGAACTAGATTTTTTAAGTCAATGCTGCACGGAAGAAGTAAAGGTAAAACTGAAAAAGTGGACTGTAGGTATATTACCCATGAAAGAAGGAGAATTAAGAACCATTTGCCTTTTTCGGAAGAAGCAAATTCTTTAAGAGTTATGAATATACACATGTATGTGTGTGTGTGTGTGTTCATGTAGATGTGTGTGCATGTATGTATGTATACGTGTATATATGTGTATATCTAAAATGTGTATTTTAAATGTCTATTATAAATTAATATATAAGCGAATATACTGTTGAAGGCCCTGACTGAAGGAATAAAAGGAAAGATACAGCAACTCTCCCTTTACAGGAATCTTTGGAGTGTAGTGGAAGCATGCATCGGGAGAGGTTATCAATAACCTAAGGGAACATAAGCAGTCATTACTAGTGATTCCCCCTAAGGGAAGAAGCAATGACTACTGGTGTCTCTGTATTAAGAGAAGACAGATAATTCAGCAAAGGCCACACACAGCAGTGTGCTGTCTTCCTGCAGAGAGAGATTACAAAGTACTAAACCAAATGGTACTATGAGTGTCTGAGAAATCTTCAGTGGTCACGAAACGCATGAGAACCGATGGCATGGCATCGCATAGAATCGTACAGCCTATAGATGACTTAAGGGGTCCATGCGGCAAACCTGAAAGACACAAATCCTTTCAGCCTCCAGAAGTGGAAGAAGGCAGAAAATACTAATGTTAACTGTTAGATGTGCGCTTAAAGTGAAGCTGAAGACTGTGGTGTTACGAAACGTTGAACCTCATTCTAATGATAGAGGAAGTTACATAAATAGAATAAACTGCATGTGATCTGTTAAATTGGGTGGTTAGATGGCTGCCAGGAAGATATTAAATATAAGAGGAAGATTTCTAAAAAGCCACTTTTCTAAAAAGCACAAATGCAAATGTAGACTATCACAAGCAGATTGGATTTACCTAACGAAGAATTTAAGGAGAAAAATAAGGGTTGATTTTCTTTATGTACTAAAATGTAAGGAGCTTGTGAACGAGATGTTAGATATAACAGTCAAATAGAAACATGGTGGGATGATAGACCATAATTATATTGTAAACATTTCCTGTATATTTTTTTCTGTTATATATAATATTCCATTCAGGACAGATTTTGGATACTGGGGACAATGTGAAAGAGGTGAATGTAAGTTGAGAGAGGGAGAGGAGGAGAGAGGTGACATTCTGCATTAAAAACACCATTACTTGTCTTTCAAGTTATTGATAACTCAGAACCACAGGATCTTCAATGCATGTGGATCAATATGCTACCTGGGGGAGGGGTTGCTGATGGGAGTCTGTTGTATACCACTGGATCAAATTAGAGTATGACAAGTTACTAATTAGGTACATATTTGTGACACACAGTAAAACATTGGGTTGTTATGGAGAGCCCAGTTTGGGACATGAATGCAGGTAACTAAAATTGCTGAACTGTAAAATCTAGTTCTACTTTCTAAAAACTGTGGAAGATACAATTGCAAACAAAAATTTAGTGCATCCAAGATGCTGTAAGTCATTTTTGGACCTAATTCTTTTGGGGTGTAGTGTAGAGAGCAGGAGTCCTGTTCTAAATTATATTCAATGGGAACAAAGAAGGCACCTCAAATCAGTGGTATACATGACCAGTGATTCAGAGCAGCTTATTTCTTATTATCCTTATTATCCTCTGTTATGAGGAAGAATGGCTAGGAGAAAATAAGAACAGAAATTGTGCACTCTAAGAGTTAATTAGGTAACCGAAAAGCACAATTCCATAATTAGAGGATAACTCCTTACACATGCCTATTTCAGTTTGATGGGAAAGATAAGACAAATATTTAGAAATAAAAAGGCAGCATAAAGTGAATGGAAAATGGATTATAGGCAAGAAGCTGTAAATATGAGCATTAAGGCAGAGAGGGTGGAGGAGAGGCTAAACAGAACAAGGTGAAATCTGTGGTTAGCAAAGCCAAGGACAGAAGGGGTTTTAAAAATGTGCTTAAAACAATCAACCACCATTAAGTCCCTGAAAAATGAAGTCCAGGAAAAAGAAGAACAAATACAAGAACTACAAGTAAAGTACGTTCACTGT